TTAATAAACACCAGATTGTTTTCAAAGGTTGTTCTCTTTCACTGTAATGCACATGCTGGCTATGTAGCTCTCAGTGGAGTATGAGCTTTTATAAGAATTCAAATCCTTTTGGTCTTTATGCAAGGGTATGCAAGGGCACCCACTGGGGACAGAGAAACCAGAGCCACATGTGGAGTTGTAACATCACAGGACTCCTTTCTGCAAAAGAAGTGGACACCTATCTTTTTTGGTCCACATGGAACATTCTTGGAAACTATGCCAAAATCTGAGGATATAAGAGCACTTCCAAACTATCCCGTCTCTCTCCTGTGGCACTACTCAGGGCTGCGGGTGGTGGGGCTCTGGCTTACTGGGCAATATGTCACCACACACACTGCCCAGCACGGTCTGCAGGAGACAATCCATGATGGTCAGAGGTGTCACGCCTTGTGGGCACAGCAATTACCCAACTTCTTTTTCTTAACAAAGCTAATGAATTGATAAATAAAAGGAGAATCTATAACAGACTAAATGCACATAGAAGGAAGATACACACTAGTGGAAGATGTAAGCATGCATTCACTTTTAGCTTAGCTGTGTGTAAGAAGAAACTGAAACAACGTGGCAGGCTGTTTGGTGTCCGCTTCTTCATCAGGAATACACAGAGGAAAGACTGCCAAAAATATTTTTTAGAACTCATTCTTTTCTGACAATAGCTATTTGTTTTTAAGTAAGTGCCCATAATGTGTCTATTTGCTCCCTAATTCATGATTTAAATACAGATACTGGACTATAACAGTGATAAAAGGACTGCAGGAGAAAAATATCACAACCCACTTCACAAACTGATAGCAAGTCAGGGAGATACTATGTCCCACTCTGCAACACATTGCATGCCTCCTTAAAGGCAGAAGTATCTATGCATCAGACCGAAAAAGAGGCTGTGCTGGCAATTTAACAAGTACAGGACTAATACAACTCAACTGTTTGGATGCCATAGCCATCTTCCTCTTTATTACAAGAAGGAAGATGTCCAGAGATATACTAGAACCCAGAAAAATGTGAGCTCCCACAACTGAGACAAACAATGTCTGCTGGGACTTGAGTGTGAATCTCATTTGGCCGCTCGAAACACGGCACCAGCTCTGGGCTGCATTACAGAACAGCCCAGTTCAGTCACTGTCTCAGTCCTTTAAGAATTTCTCATGAAATAAAGCAAACAGCTGTAAATGATCAGTACAGCGGGGAGGAATGAAGACATGTTTAGTAGGGAACGTTGGTCTTACATCACACAACGTGCCATGCTCCCAAGCAGGGAGGATCTTCTCCTAAGCAATATCCCAAGCAGAATTAAGCCTCATGTCATATTCCCAGCACTTCATGCTGTTAGCCAAGGAGCAGCCCCGAATCGACAAAGGACAGCACACACATCTGTCACGCAGCTCACCTGCTCCCCATTTCATGGCATATTTCTTCATTCACCCGAGTATCCTCTCTGGCTATGCATCATCACAGGAAACCATAAAAACGCTTTTCATAGCCTTTGAGAGCTGGCATACAAATACAAACACATGCAGTATAAATCTGCACTAAGCAGCTCAAGGATAGACTGTTAATGCTCCCACTCTAACATATCACTGTGCAGCTGAGGTCAAGACTTTTCCTGCCTTCACTGAATCTGCTGTGAGCTCCCCAGCTCTCAGGCTTATGTACTGTAATGAGCTTGAATCTGAAGTGACAGTGCTATCTCATGGCCGTTTAACTCTGGCAAAAACTCCAGGGAATTTAGTAAAGGATGAGACCCTCTCTGACATTAGGAAAGATCTCCTCCCTTATTACCTGTTTCACACGAATCCCTGCATTAGAGACTGTGAGAGGAGAGCTGTGCACAGTTCAGCCATGCCCAGAAAAACCACCTTAGCCCTGTGAATGCTTATTTAGCTGCAGAACAACCCCAGCACTTCTCAACAATTGCTGCCGGTCTGTAGTAGCAGAAAGCAAGCAGCACAAGCAACCATGCTGCAGCACCCTGCTGCTGCACTCAGCCACAATTTATTCCCATCCTACAAGATATTTTAGTTAAATATGCTGAAGATTTGGATCTGATATTTTTCCCCATATCAGCAAGATCAAAGACAGAGAGGGAGGGAGGGAGGGAGGGAGAGAGGGAGAGAAAGAGCGGGTGCGTGAGCACAAGAGCGAGAGAAGCATCACTGCTTCAAACCAGGAACAAAAGAGATAAGTGCACCCGCACTAGGACACAGTGTTGCAGTCACAGAAACCTCACTAATGACTAAAGCATCTGTCTATCAGAGCGCCAGACTGCAATTGTATTTCGATCTTGCAAGGAAACAAACAGATTCTAAGGTGCCCATTATAACCTGCAGTAAAGAGGAGACCCATCCCCTCCCGAAGCGGAGCAGGCAGCGGGCTGGAGCTTGCTGCCACAGAAATCAGGAAAGTAGTGCATGGCGTGCAAACCTGATACGTGCAGCAGCAACATCATGGGCAGCCGCTTCAATTATGGCTAAAATTAAAGCAGGTGGTTTCAGATTTCGAGTTTTATCCCCTCTGCACCCGTTGCTGTCATCTGCTTAATGAATAACAATTGCTTTCTTTTTGCACAACCTCAGCAGAGCTGCACTTCCCGGCATTTGTTTGCCAACCAAGCAGCAGCAGAGCTTTAAAGACGGTAACTGTGCTTTATTTTTGGTAAACAAACGCCAGGCTTCTAGGGTCAGGAACACTGAAGAGAAAATTCAGCCTGGACCTCTCAAACCAGAGCAGGGCTTTATCAAATGGTGTTGCTAGGGACTACCAATGTGCAAGCAAGAAATCTGCCTCCTTACGTTGTAGTTCACAGGCTAGGATGTATACGCAGCCCAAATATTTTGCTCTAAGTGGTGGTGAGTAATCACTGATTTCTCAGGTAGTATTTCCAGCTGGTTCTCCCAGGAACAGCACTCATGCTGCAACGCTTTCTTCCCAGCTGCCATGAGGCTAGGGACCCTGGGGAGAGAGGCACTGGCTGGGTGGGTTGGGCTGGAGCCGCAGAGCTGGAGCCGCAGAGCTGCCCTCTGAGAACAACAGTGGCTCCCAGAGGCACAAATCATCCCCATGCCTGCCCGTGGGATAACGTGGCATATTCCAGACAGGCGGAGGAGCTCGCTGGGAGGGCTGGTGCAGAACCGGAGGAGGCTGCACCCCCCTCCCTGGTGTTCTGCTCCGCAGAGCTCTACATTCCCTGCAAAATGGGAAACGTGTCTCTCTGAGACGCAGTGAAAGCAGCAAGCTTTGTCTCTCTGCTCGTCTATGTAAAGCAGCTTTCTGTGGAGGTTCACGTTACTGCAGCAGTCAAGAAAGGGGCAGTTCTGCCCAGCAAGGCGGAAGGGCATCCCAGATGCGTCTTCTTCCACTTGGAGGGACAGCAGGTGTCATGTTGTATGGCTAGCACAGAATCTCTGTGCCGTGGAAAAGCTGCTGCTCAGAAGCAGGAATTTCAGCCTGTCAGGGTAGCTTTCGGACCAGACCCTGTTCCATTACGTTCCAACAGAATTTTATGCTGCAGAAAAAAAGGTATTATGCAAAAATACCTATTGGGTCCACAGGCACAGACAAGAAAGCTTTACTTCAGCATGCAGAGATGCTTACGTGGGCATTGAAACCGCAAGAACAAGTCCTTTTATTTTGCAAAAAGAGGGAATTAAAACTGCAGAGCAGTAATCTCTGATTGTTTTGACATACTGTAAATGCCTTTGATTGGCAAAAGCACACAGAGGCA